GGATCTCGTACACCCCCGGGGCCCGGCCACCACGGAGTTGCTTAACCACCGCGGCCACCTCAGCCTCAGTGATGGGCAAGCCCCCCCAAGCACCCTCAGGCTCTGCGCCCCCAGATGTCTCAAAGGCAGTGTGCGTAGATGTATCTGAGGCAGGGTTGAGGAGGTCCTCAAAGTATTCTTTCCACCTCCGGATGATGTCCCCAGGTGAGGTCAACAGCCCCCCCCCCCCCACTATAAATAGTAGGAACCAGGAGCTGCTTCCCCCTCCTGATATTCCGGATGGTTTGCCAGAACCTGGTATCTCGAGATAACGAAAAGGGAAAAAAAAAGTTTATGAATGTACTCTACAGACTTTCGTATTCTCCAGTTGCCAGTCTGTAACACAGTTATTTCCCTGCTGAAACATACCTACCAAATCCGACAATTAGCTGATGAACTGCATAAGGTAGCCTATATTTAAAGAGGGAAATCTGCAAACTGTGTTGCAGACTGGTCCTCCAAGACCAGAATTGGGGAACCCTGACATAAAAACATTTAAAGTCACATAAGTAAGAACGTAAAAAGGTAAAAAGATATTGCACAAAGTGAAACTGGATTATTGTTGCTATATTAATACAATGTGGTGTGTTGTCTATATATTACTCTAGTCTGTAAGTAATATGAATGAATGAAAGTGTTCAGTTCTGGGAAAGAAGCTTTTCTTCAGTCTGTTTGATAGCTTTGAATCTCTTGCCTGATGGCAAGGAGACAAAGAAACTGTGCCCTGGGTGGGTTGGGTCCTTTCTGATGTTTTTAGCCTTCTTGCACAGGTACATGCCTGTCAAGTTTTAGATTTGAAAATAAGGGAAATTTTCCGGCTCCCGCCGCGAGCCACCCCAACCAATGTATCCCTTACATTTTAAGCCAGGTGTACAAGAAATATAAAATAACCACTTGTCATTTACATTTTATTTTCATTACACATTTTATTTTAATTTCTCATGTTCGCTCGTGGCTCTCTGGCATTCACTAATGACTTATTATACAGATTTGTTGCAGACTTTTTATCCATGTTGAAGTCGTCACAGAAGGTGAAAGTAATGTTGTTTTTCGCACACAGCATTACCATTTTAACCTCCGCATTTATGACCTGGTTAATGTTGTAAATGACCTGCAGATGGCAGTTTTCGCGAGACTACTGACAGTTCAGTTTGGAGAGGCAGAGGATTTTTTTTTAAATGATATTATAATACGGGAGATTTACGGGAAAATACTAATACGGGAGGATGGCGGGAAAGAGGGGTAAAATACGGTAGTTTCCCAGCCAAAACGGGAGACTTGACAGCTATGCACAGGTGGCTACCATGCACAATTTCAATTTCTAAAGCTCAGTTCTTATGATTTTCTGAGCAGTTCTTGCCACTCGGGCCAAGTCCTTTCTGTCTTCAGAGGTGCAGCTGGCGCAGCTCCCTATGGGTTCCATAAAAAGTTGACCAGGAGCTGTGGGGGGAGTCCAGTTTGTTTGAGTTTCTTTAAGAAGAGCCTCTGTTGAGCTTCCTTCAAAAGGTGGGAGGTTTTAAAGGACCACAAAAAGTCATCTGTTATGTGAACTCCCAAGAGTCCCCAGGTCGTCAGTTATGTGTTCACCCTCTCCACCTTTTCACCATTTATATGGAGAGAGGAATGGGAGGTCTTCTTGGGTCTCCGACATCCAAAATGATCTCCTTGGTTTTAGTGGTGTTCAGGACCAGATTGTTGTACATGCACCACTCAACCAGATGTTGGACCTCTTCCCTGTACCACAGGCATGAGTCCCTAGAGTCATCAGTGAACTTCACTACAGCGTTAGACTAATGTGTGGGGGTGCAATCATGGGTGTATTGCAACAAACACAGATACAATAAGTATAGTCAAATGGATAGATTTTTATGCCATCTTTTAAGTGTTTGAAACTTGCTACTAGACTTGGGTACTATTGAGGTATTACAGCATATCTCAGAATTTTGAAATACACCCCCCTATCCTGTGCACAACCAAAAGTGAAGTAGGAATTGGCTTTTATGTCACTTTTCCATGTGCACTTCAGTCTGTGCACAGGGTGAATTTTGAATTGTGCATGTAACCCAGATTTTTACATCAAGCTGACATCATGAGCCTTAGTGCATGTAGACTGCACATATGCAAGGAAATTGATTATGTGTTTCTAGTAGGTGGCACCATGCACTGACTTTCACAGAGTAGAGGTCAACCAACAGAGAGTAGAGTAAGAATAATTGTTGTTGTTGTTGTAGTAGTTAGCAATTCATTCCATCAGCTAGTTTTAGTGCACGGTGAAGTGTATGTTTATAAATACATAACATTTTATTGTATCTTATATACAACTAACATTCAGCATTTTTTTAATTAATGACTTTTTCGATTCCAATATACAGTACAGTATTTGTTGTGTAGAATCTAAATTACAAGTGTGTACACCCACATATAATAGGTACAAAAGGGCCTGTCAGTTTTTCACACACAGTATCATCATGGCATATTTATATATGTGCAGCCAAATACTAAGGGAGCAAGTATTTAGAGATCACAATGATTAGTTTTCCAAATGATTTGTGGCTTATCAGTCATTTTATAACAGCAAGAGCAATTCTGAAGTGTGATGATTTGGCCCTGGTCCTTGAACCATCATGCTGTTTATGTCCATCTTTAAGTACAGACAGCACTTGGACTTTTAGCAACAGGAACATACCACATATCAACGAGAACTGGCTGACCGATCAGGGATTTCCCAGCCATTCACTCCCCCAATAAACAGACCTTTGTATTTAAATTATTTAAGCTGTGCCCCCCAGTCTGAAACTCTCTATGCCATTGATCCCAGCCCATTATTCTTTAAGTTATGGCAGGTATTAACTAACTGTCAAGACAGAATATGAAGCTTCCTTAGTGCAAATGTACAGGCAAACATCACAATGCAACTTGCAGCAATGTCTGGCTTTCCTAATGTCAGTGCTATGACTGCATACACATTGCAATAAAAGCTCCATCAGTGAATAAAGCTGCTTTTGTGAACAGAAAGCAGTTTCATTCCATCAACGTGCAACTCATCTTTGACTTCAATACTAAGAAACTACAATGTAGGACATTTTTATATACGAGAGGTATGCCTTTTCGTACATGCACTATATGTACAGTGGTACCTCAGTTCTCGAACTCATTAGAACTTGAATATCTTAAAAGTCGAACCAACCAGTTCGAAAACAAATTACCTAGAACTCGATCTGAATCTTAGAAGTCAAACCGTGAACACCGACCTATGATAACTTGTACGCGTAGGGAAATGAGTCACGCGGCATGTCTCTCAGCTGAAACAGGGTAACGCTTAAGTCTAAGCCTCGCATGCGCTGTGATAGCATCGTGCATGTTTATACTAGATGAATACATATATTTAGACAGTAAAAATACATTTAGGCAATGATAGACAGTAACAGTAATTATTATATAATAAAACACATTTAAAAATAAAGATTTCTTATTAATTATTTTAATATTAATAATAACTATTAATACATTTAATTATAATAATATTATCGTGCCGAGCGGGACGGAATGGAGACAAAGGCGCAGACGTCAGGGTATCGGGGAATACGGGGTTTAATTACAGGTAAGGCAGGCAAAACACAGATGGACAAAACAAAGACTGGACTGGGGAAACAAACTGAACCGCAGACGAAATACAGAGGACTAATGACAACAACCAGAAACAGCTGATCACACGGGGATTCCACACGGGGTTAACGAGGGGGCGTGGCACACGGAAGGAGCGGACGATTGGGGCAGGACATTTTTTTTTTCTTTTTTTTTATAAGGATGCAGCGTCTGCAATGTATGGAAATAACACAATATGGGTTTTACTGTTTTAGCTTGTAGAGCATTTACATCGCTGCTGTAGATTCACTCCCGCGGTTCACAAAATTAACAATATAAAACAATATGAAACTGCAGAATACAGTATACTCTTCTTGCTCATATAACTCAGTATATACCCTAAACTGAACCGATCACAGAGATCTAATCCCATTTTCAACGATAACAAATTACATTGTGAACAACTTGCTATCACTATGATAGAGTGGGCAACACGAACAAACACTCAAATATAAACATAAATGCTCGAATACCGGCGTTTCACCGGCTTCCATGGTGCTTCGCCATAACGCAACATTCGGAAATGTACGTAGATATTCACTAAATGTATTAGATCTAAGTTTAATCACAGCACCCGTTTGTAGCAGTTAGCTTTGTTCGCAAGACGACTAACACGCTTTATCATCTACCCAACACTCGGCGCCATAACCCTCAATAAGTCATCGCTTCCTTCATTATCGATGCATTGACTACAGGGAACATTTTCGTTGTGAGGTTTGGTAGATACGTGTAATCAGTAGCGCCCCTAGAGGAACCTCCTAACATAGCAGGTGGGCTCATACTTCAGCACTCCCTCTAAAGTGACGAGAGAGGCTTATCTTCACCTTACGGTCGAATTAACAATTAACAACGACTCTGCTGACCAGTCAGAATGAAATAGGATTATAGAAAATAATAAGGCGGCGGTGGGTGCGGTTGTAGATATGCCCACATTACAGTATGTACCAAATATAATTGTTGGCCATGTGCAGTCATGTGTCAGGAAGTCAATATTATTTAAAGCCAAAAAAACACCAGTAAAATCTCAGTGTATGTGTGCTGTGGGCAATTACAGCATGAGAGCACCAAACTGATAACTGCTGGGAAAAAAGTAACTGTTGGTAGAAAAATGTATTTCAGTCGTTAGAGCCCAAGCAGTGTTTGATTAACCCTGCATGGTGAGGATTCCATACTGACGAATCAGAACAGGCCTGGCAGGTGTAGAGGATTTCAGCAACTATAATATAGTCTGCAAGCAAAGTGGCCAAAACAGTGTGCTTTGCTCCCAGTTCTAAAACAATGGCAGTGCATGAGAGGGTTATAGTGCTGCTTCTCCTTTTAGGTTGCAGCTGTGAAGCTCAACTGAATTCTAGGTTTGCTGTGAAGACCCCTCAGGTGTCAGCTGGTTATCAGAGTGGATTAGGTGCTTCTCAAGTGGTGGCAGCCAGTTATCAGGTTGGCGCAGGTGGTCCCAAGGTGGCTTCAACCGGCTTCCAGGTTGGCGTAGGGGTTCCCCAGGTGGCTTCGACCGGCTTCCAGGTTGGCGTAGGTGCTCCCCAGGTGGCTTCGACCGGCTTCCAGGTTGGCGTAGGTGCTCCCCAGGTGGCTTCGACCGGCTATCAGGTTGGCGTAGGTGCTCCCCAGGTGGCTTCGACCGGCTATCAGGTTGGCGTAGGGGCTCCCCAGGTGGCTTCGACCGGCTATCAGGTTGGCGTAGGGGCTCCCCAGGTGGCTTCGACCGGCTATCTGGGCAAGCAAGTGGCTCCTGCTCTGGTTAAATCTGTGACTGGAATGCAAGTGAACCCTGACAGTGTGAGGGTTGTGTGTGGGGAGGATTCAGTTATGGTGGATGTGCAACAAGACCTTCTAGCTATTGGCCAGCTGATCAATCCATCAGACATCACCTTTGGTGGCTGTGCACCCACTGGGCAGGATGCTTCTGGCACAGTGAGGTTTCAATCTGCACTGCAGGCCTGTGGAAGTACAATGATGGTATGAGGGCTTCCTTCTGATGGTTGCTGTGTTGGCTATGCTAGTGCTAATGTTGTTGTTCTCCAGATGACTGCTGATGCCCTGGTCTATAGCTTTGCATTGATCTACACACCCAGAGGTATTAATGGCAGCCCCATTGTGAGGACCAATGGTGCTGTGGTTAGCATTGAGTGTCACTACTTGAGGTGAGGATGCCCCATATGCTTTGGTGCTCCCTAGCCCTAGGAGCCATTTTTTCTAGTGACTGAATGTTCCTTGCTCCTTAGGAAACAGAATGTGAGCAGCAATGCCCTGGTGCCAACCTGGATCCCTTACTATGCCACAATGGCAGCAGAAGCACAGCTGAATTTCTCATTGAGGCTGATGGATGGTAGGTGAGGGATTCATGCAGCATATCTGGCTCTGCTCTGTGGGCTTGTCCTCAAGTGCATGTGCCCTCTGTACAGATGCATGGCAGAATGAGAGGGCCTCCAATGTGTACTTCCTGGGAAATGTCCTGAACATTGAAGCCTCTGTCCTTGTGGGCAACAGTCAGCCCCTGCGTGTCTTTGTGGACAGCTGTGTGGCCACCTTGGTCCCTGATGTGTCCTCTGTCCCTAGCTATGCCTTTGTGCAGAACTCTGGGTGAGTAACATTGTATGGTTGTGTATGAGGCCACTTGGGCAAATGCTGCTTGACATGCCTGGCCTTCAGGTGCCTGACTGATGCCAAGGTGACAGGATCCCGCTCCCAGTTCCTGCCCAGAAAGCAGGATGACAAGCTGCAGCTTCAGCTGGATGCTTTCAGGTTCTCTCAAGATGGCAGGAGCTCAGTGAGTACAGGCACTTGTGCAGGATTTCTGTGCTTAAATGAACTGGTTGTGATTGCAGCTAAGCATGCTTTTGGTGTCCTAGATGTTCATTACTTGCAGCCTGAGAGCAACAGTGGCTTCTGTGCCTGTGGACTCCCAACACAAGGCTTGTTCCTTCTCCCTTGCTGCTAACAGGTCAGTGGCTGCATCATTATGATGCTGGATGAGTTGAGCTGCTAAACAATTGCTATTCCCCATTGCAGGTGGATGTCTGTAGATGGGAATGACCAGGTGTGTGGCTGCTGTGACACCAGCTGTGGGCTTGCAGGTGTAGCAGGTATGCTGAGCATCAGTCTAGAAGATGCTGTGGTGGCTTGTGTTGGTGTGACTGAGGCACCCTTCTTGCCCTTGCAGGTGCTCAAGGCACAGGTGTTCTGGGCCCCATTACTATCCAACAGGGTCCTCCCATGGGTAGTCAGCCTGGACAGCTGTATATGCTGAAGGGATAGGTACCTACTACCCTAATGTGCCAAGCTGTGCATGGTACCAGGATGGAAGGAGCCAATTAACTTGCCTGCCATGATCTGTGCTGCTTCCCTCTGTGGCAGCTGTGCTGGAGACTATGGGCACTGTCTCGTGACTGAATAAAGCACTAGTATTTGAAATGGTGCAGTTGTCTGCCTATTTCTTGTTTCCTAAGTACACCTCTGGACTGCCTAGAAGTTCTCCAACCACTTCACACTGCTTACTGCCAGGGCATTTCATGACTAATGGGACCCTGTGGGAAAGCCATACCCTAGAGATGGCCATTTTGAAACACTAGCTTTGCACAGCCTACTGGCAAAAACCAGAACTGCAGCTATAGCAAATACATTGTTTTCTTTTACTTTACACATTGTTTGGATACATTTATTTTCTCACTTTACAAATTACTGTTTTGATGTGTTTAGTACAGTATATGCTCTTGTTTTATCCTATTGTGTTAATGCTTAAAAAAAAAAATTAGGTGTAATTTTTTGGGGCCGGGAACCAATTAATCGGTTTTCAATATTTTCTTATGGGAAATTCGATCACAACCTGAACTCTTTAGTATTCAATCCAGGGTTCTGAATGGATTAAATTCAGGTTCTGAGGTACCACTATATATACATACCAGTATTGGGTCACACCTCTCTCATTGAATTCAGGGGTTTCATTCAGACCCATTGCCACAAGTATATAAAATCAAGCACATGGCCATGCAGTCACCTTTACAAATATATGTGAAAGGATCTGTTAATTCAAGCATGGTACTGTCATAGGACGCCACCTTTGTCAGTTTAAGTACTGTAAGTGAGATTATTGCAATGTGGAAGTGTTTAGGAACAGAAACTTAGCCACGAAGTAGCAGACCATGTATAGTAAGAGTGCTGAGGCATAAAGGTCCCAACACTCTAACTGTAACTGCAGAGTTCCAAACTTCTCCTCACATTAACCCCAGCACAAAAACCGTGTGCTGGTAGCTTCATGGAATGGGCTTCCATGGCTGAGCAGCTGCATGTAAGCCTCAAATCACCAAGCGCAATGCCAAGTGTCGAATGGAGTGGTGTAAAGCATGACACCACTGGACCCAGGAGCACTGGAACCATGTTCTGTGTTGTGACAAATCATGCTTCTCCGTCTGATGGACAAGTCTGGGTTTGGCAGATTCCAAAAAAAAACATTGCCTGATAGCATTGTGCCAACTGTGAAGGTTGTTGGAGGAGGGAAAATGGTATGGGGTTGTTTTTCAGGGGTTGGGCTAGGCCCCTTAGTTACAATGAATGGAACACAATGCATTAGCATACCAAGACATTTTACGCAATTCTATGAGTATGCTTACAACTTTGGTTGGGTGAGAACTTGACTGGCCTGCACAGAACCCTGACCTCATCCATATCAAATACCTTTTGGATGAACTAGAAGGAGATTGTGAGCCAGGCCTTCATATCCAACATCAGTGCCTGACCTCACAAATGCTCTTCTGAATGAATGGGCAAAAATTCCCATAGACACGCTCCAAAATCTTATGCAAAATCTTCCCGGAAGAGTGGCAGCTGTTATACAGTGCCTATAAAAAGTAATCACCCCCCTTAGATGTTTTACCCTTTTATTGCTTTTATAAATCAATCATGATCAACATAATTCAGCTTTTTTGACAAAAAAAATTACAAAAATTTTGATGTCAAAGTGAAAACTGATTTCTACAAAATAATGACAATTAAAAATATGCAACACAAAATAAGTGATTGCTTAAATATTCACCCCCTTTAAAGTGACTGACCTAATTCAACAGAGGTCCAGCCAATTGGGGCTAGTAGTCCTATAATTAGTGGAATGGAGATCACCTGAGTGCAGTGACTGTGTCTCGAGTTATTGTAGTATAAAGACACCTGTGTCTGGAAGGTCCATTCACTGGTTAATCAGTATTCCTGGCTACCATTACAGCATGAAGACAAAAGAACACTCCAAGCAAGTCAGAGAAAAGGTTATTGAAAAGTATGTCAGGGGATGGATACAAAAAAAATTCTAAGGCACTGAACATCCCCTGGAGTTCAGTTAAATCCATCATCAAGAAATGGAAAGAATATGGCACATGTGTAAATCTGCCTAGATTGGGTCATCCTCACAAACTGAGTGACCGTGCAAGAAGGAGCCTATAGTGAGAGAGGCCACCAGGACACCTAGGACTACTCTAAAGGAGTTACAAGCTTCAGCAGCTGAGATGGGAGAGACTCTGCATACAACTGTTGCCTGGGTTTTTCACCAGTCAAAGCTTTATGGGAGAGTGGCAATGAGAAAGCCACTGCTGAAAACTCATATTAAGTCTCGACTAGAATTTGCCAGAAGGTATGTTGGAGACTCCATGGTCAACTGGAAGAAAGTTCTTTGGTCTGATGAAACCAAAATGGCCATCAGACAGGACATCGTTTGGCGGACATCAAACACTGCACATCACCACAAACACACCATCCCCACCGTGAAGCATGGTGGTGGCAGCATCCTGCTTTGGGGATGCTGCTCGGCAGCAGGCCCTGGAAGGCTTGTAAAGGTAGAAGGGGAAATTAATGCAGCAAAATACAGGGAAATCCTGGAGGACAATTTGATTCCATCTGCAAGAGAACTACGGCTTGGGAGAGGATTTATTTTCCAGCAAGACAACGACCTGAAGCATACAGCTAAAGCTACACAGAAATGGTTTGAAGACGACAAGGTGGATGTTCTGGAGTGGCTGAGTCAAAGCCTAGACCTCAATCCGATAGTTTTCAATTTAGAACATAAGAACTATACAAACGAGAGGAGGCCATTCGGCCCATCGAGCTCGCTTGGGGAGAACTTAACTAATAGCTCAGAGTTGTTA